AGGAGACGGCTTATCCGTAGAGAACGACGGAAATATAGTTATTGCTGATTCAAGAAACAAATTAATCAAGATCTTTTCTCCTAGAGGCCATTATTTAAAACAATTCGGGGGAGAGGGTTCTTTAACCTATCCCTTTCACTGCATACAGTATGAAAACCATCTCGTAGTGTCAGACTCCTATGAACATTGCATCAAAGTGTTTGATAGAAATGTTACTTTTCTGTACAAATTTGGAAAGAAGGGAGAGAGGGATGGGGAGTTCAACACACCTGGTTGTTTGTCAGTTAACAAGGCAGGACACCTGATGGTCTGTGACGGATCTAATCACAGAGTTCAGGTATTTGATCTTAGTGGAAAGTTTATCACAAAATTTGGATCAAAAGGAAAGAATAAAGGAGAATTTGATGTTCCTCACTCTACTGCAGTGCACAGCGATGGTCGAATAGTTCTGTCTGATTATAATAACAATCGCATTCAGATATTTCAATAGACTTAACATCACTATCCCTTACAAGATTTTAATTGACTTTATGCAACTATTAAACATGAAACTGCTTTCGACAAGTGATGTATATTATCAGTAAGAATCTTCTGAATGGTCAATGAAACTACAAAACAACCGATCGCATTACGAATTTCAGAGATTGTGCATAAACTAAGTGTGATCTGTCAGTCAGCCTTGTCAATAAGCTCTTTAAGGTCAATGATAAAAGAGGTTTTAAAACTTTCGTTTGATATCAATTTTAATAGGATTGCAAGGCTACAAAATTCAGTTCTAACTCCACATTAATTATACAAAAATTTATTAACTTCAAGTAATGGTACATCCAAGATAAATAGTTTGTTTCAGCCATAGTGTTTTCCTAAACTATTTCCCAAATTATTTCCGATCCGCCATGCTGAGTTGAACATATTCCAGAGTAGACCAGCAGAGAGAATGGACTGTTTTTTGACATAAGTAGAAATTTGTTACTGTATAATTAACTATGTGATAAAAAGTTATAAATAATTAAACAGTAGAAAGGTATGTCATTAAAATAGTTGTGATTGTATCTGCGCTTTGCTGTATAGTGTGTGGAAGAGATTTAAAAAAAGGAAGGGGGATTTGAAACTTTCTGAATGATTTTATCTTGGACCAATTTATTAGGAGAAGTAGCAATTCCCCCAATTTATTGTGGGAAAAAGGTAAGATCGTAAACCCCAATAAATAGCTAATGCCGGAAGTAGGATTGCACTCTTGGGAGATTCGGCTAACCGGAAGTTCTTTCACCGCATCTGGAAAGTTTATCGCGTAATACGGTAATGCTCAAACTCACTGAAAAAATTGATTGAAAGCCACAAAGCTGGCATGGTGGGTTTGTGTGCACTCTGAGGCGTTAAGCAGAGAGGGGGCATGAGGTTTGATACTGATCAGTGGAAGAAACCCACGCTATGCGCTATGCGGCTCGAATTAGCTGCTTCGCCACCCGGCCTCTATTTTCTTGAGGGCCAGGAACAACAACTAAATGGCGCGTTAGCCGATTATTGGTGGATAGAGGACAGAGAGATTTGAAATGATGCTCAGTTTTTTGGCAATTTGTCGTATTAAATTCCACGCTGTGATGTTGCAGTGATCTAAATATTACGGAGTCCGTTGTTTGCTTTGTCATGAAAGCTCCTTTGTGCCTCGTTACGTTGTCGCGTTCTCGTGGTTTCCTGTTCAGTGAATCTTTACGCAATAATCGTCGACCCTTGTAGTCATAGTCTTTGTTAAAGTTAAATCCATCGCTTCTTTGTGGCAAGACTTCCATAGTTTTCCAGAGAGAATTCTGGTAGAAGGAAGAAAATCAACACATCAGAGATAAATTTTAAAAAAACATACGGTATGTAGGCAATGAGGACCCATTTGATCTTGAAAATCAGTCAGTAAATCGACTTGGAAAAAAATACACATGAGTAATATGTGACTCTGTGATGGGTTCAGGTGCGTGTGTAATTCAAGCATGATGATAAAGCATCAAGTTGTGCGGAGTTGGTGTTTTATAAACCAGGCCTCCGTTCAGAGATGCGGTGTTAACAATGAATGTTGGGTAAGGAGGGAGAAATTGATGGAGTGTGAGAAGAAAAGGCAGCCTGGGTGAAGCAATAAAAAGAATGTTGAGAGATAGGAGAACAAATCTCGGATTTAAATTTAGAGCCATTTCGTAGAGCTCACGATCTTCCTAAACACCTTCACGAAAATGAGGGTCAGCCTCCATTTTGACACACTGTCCATTGTCTGATTGAAAACTGTCTGTCTCAGGTGACAGCTACATACTGAGCTATAAATGTCTGAGGTCAACAATTTTCAGAAATCTTGCATTTTAATTTTTGCCGTAGGTCTTCGAGTACTCTTTCCACTTTGACTTTTTGTCCTTGTCAACTTGAGCGAACCTTGGAGTGAGATTGAAGATTTGGCAGAGTCTAAGAATCTCAATTGAACAATC